GAGTGTTTTCCAGTCCTGTCTGTTGGGGCACCACACCCTGGCCCCAAAGTCTGCCTTCAGCATTCCCTGGGAACCTCGCCGCTCCATTCCCTTAATGTTCTTTTGCACCCCCTTAGTGTTTTGCCTTGGTGTGGTGGAATCTTTTTTTTTTTTACTTCTGCAGTTCTGTTTGAAATGGCATTAGATAAAATAAGGGAATAAATAGAGCACGGGTGAGGCAGCCTCCAGCCCCAGTCACACAGAGGGAGTTCTAGTGCAGAGTCCTTGGCACAGGGCACAGGGCACAGCCCTCCGGACTGTCCACACTCGAGGGTGGGCTTGAGGGGGACCAGGAGCGGTGGAAATCATCATTCTCGGGCTCCTCGGCGCAACAATCTTCAGGCAACAGTGCTTCAGGCAACAGCCCCCTCCGATTTAGAGGGCGGCTGGGTCTGTGGGGCTGCAAGACACCAATCAGGTAACAGGGAGCGAGAAGACTCTCAGATCCTTCTCCTTGGGGAAGGGGGGCGCGGCCTCCTCGGGACCAGGCTCCCCCTTCTGGTAATAGACAGGACGGAGGAGCCTGGGGGCAGCTGGGCCTGGAAGAGAAGGGGGGCAGCAGCGAGGCCGGGGCACAGCCCCTCAGGGACAGCCAGGGGGGTTGGATCTTTTTACAAGACTTTTTATTCCTGTAGAGTTACAGTCTTGGAAACCCACAGGGGCAGTTTTACTTTGCCCTCTAAGTCGCTGAGTTGGCACCACCTCTGTGGCAGTGAGTGAAAAAAACTTCTGGTGATGGTGTGGGTTACACATTAGACTGCTAACCACATGGTCATAAACTCAAATGCACCAGCCGCTCATCAAGAAAAAGGAGAGGTTTTCTAAAGATTTACAGCCCCAGAAACCCACAATGGCGGTTCTTTTCTGGCCCAAAGGATCGCCATGAGTCAAAATCAACTTGGTGTCAGTGAGTTTGGGTTTTGGTATTCTACCGTCTAGGTTAGCCCGAATGATAAAGCTATATACAACAATTCAGCATGACTGAAAATAGAGTAAGTTATTGTAAAAACAAGTATTTCAAGGCTTTACTAATGAGAGTAAGAGAAAAAAATAAGGTAGATATTAAGAATGGACAGGTTGGCTTGATTTTTTTTTTGTACTTTTAATATTTGAGGTTTGAGTCTGTTTATTAGAGTATGATTTTCTCCCCTGTGCACTAAGTAAACATAGGTAATGTTAAACATACTCCTCTACAGAGATCCCTATTTCAGTGAACTGTGCTTAATAATGATTGTTACCTTTTGTCTATTTTCTTCTAGGCTTTACTCATCACCAAAGAAAAAACTTACACCAATGCAGAAATCAGTTAGTCCATTAGTTTGGTGCAGGCAAGTTTTGGATTATCCAAGCCCTGATGTTGAGTGTGCTAAAAAGTCCCTTATCCACAAACTTGATCAAACTATGTCAGGTATGTCTGTAATTTTACTTGTCAATTCATCCCTTTGATTTCTTTTCTCAAAAACCAAACAGATAAATGTTGAGTCCTTATTGGGGGGAAGGCAATGCCTTATCTGGCAGCATTTTCCAAATCGCATTTTGCATACTACCATGAGAGTTTTTTTCCATACACAAACACCCCCCCCTCAATTTACTACTTACTTCAAACAGGTGTGTTTATTTTTCAAAATCTCCTCGTTTCTGATTTTACCTTTTAGTAATCAATAATACTTATGAAATAATGAACTCTGATCATTGTTTCTAATACAAATACAAGCAGTGGCTATTAAAGTTAAAAATGTCTGTTCATCTCACATGTAACATTTTGAAGAAACTTCAGTGTGGTAGAAATATGTGACTTTTGAGTTCCAAGAAGACCTCCTCTCACTACAGCCATTGAGTTTTGGGGTGGTCTGAGCATCATTTAACTTGCCATGAGAATGATGCACCTGAAAAGTTCTATTAGGAATTAAATGATGATGATGTTGTACCTAGCACTGTTTCCGAATACATAGTAAGCTCTTACTGTATTGATAGCATTTTCTTGTTAAGATTTTGTTGTTGTTGTTGTTGTTTGTTTTACATGTCATTTTAGGTTTAAATTGTTTTTATGCTACTTTGGCTTAATGCTAACAAAATGTGCCTGTGGTTATTAATGCCATTTCATGACACATACCAGCACAAATAGAAACAGGCATGATACTGCTGGCCTATTTGTGAAATTCTCTTAGTTTCTTTTAAGAATGCTCTGGTTTTCACACTGCCGGTGTGATCATGAGGAGTCATCAGGACTGGGTAATAGGCATCAGAAGGCACATAACTAACAAACAAAAAAAAACCATATTGCTGAAAGTGAGGGGGGTTGGAGCAGAGATCCAAAGTCCATCTGTAGACAGTGGAACAATCCCCCCACAGAGGGGCTACAGGGAAGGGATGAGTCAACCAGGGTGCAGTAAAGCATCACAGTATTCCTCTGTTTTTTGAGGTTTCCTCACCTCCCGCTATCAGGACTCCAGTGCTTCTCAATTCATACTAGACCAGAGCATGTACACACATATAGGTAAGAGATGGGGGCTCACGGCACACGGAATTCAGGAACAGGAGTGGGAAAAGTGATACCAGAAGGGTAGTGGGAAGAGGGGGAGAACAAGGGAAAAAGGGGGAATCTATCAATACATAACCATGTAACCCTCTCCAGGGGGAAGAGCAATAGAAAACATGGGGGAAGAGAGACAGCGGTCAGGGTGAGATTTGAAAATAATAGTAAGAATATAATTTATCAAGGGGTTATAAGGATATGAGGGTGGGGGCGGCGGGAGAGGAGCTGCTACCAAGGGGTCAATAGAAAGTAAATGTCTAGAAAAGAATGAAGGCAACATATGTACAAACACGCCTGATGCAATCAATGTATGGCTTATAACGAGAGGCCCCAATAAAATGATCTTTTAATTAAAAAAAAAAAAAAAGGAATGCTCTAGTTTTCTGGATTACTCATATATTAAGGATCAACCAACCCATATATTTTCAGGGTCTGGGTTTTTCTTTGTGTCCTATCTACTGATAGCTATGTACTTAAAATTGCTTATTTTGGCTTTATCAGCAAAATAATATGCTCTCTGGGTAGCATTTAAGCTGAAAATGGTCAGTTTGTCAGGGGGGAAACTAGCTAGACAGTTTGGTTGTTATATAAGTACAGTGTATGCTTGGTTGGCTGGCTGTAACAGGTAGGCTGGTAAAGTGTAGTTTTAAGTTTGGTTATTACATGCCAACTTTTAGGATATAATTTTAGATTTTGAATGGACTTTGTCTGGCTTGACACTAATGTTTTAACTTTGTCTCTGTGTAGAGAATCCTTCTGAAGCAGTGTCCTGTGTGTGGAGTTTATGCTAGGGAAAAGAGATTGATAAATAATTTTCTACTAAGGGTTCAAGCAGAAAGCAAATGTTTTGAGAATGATGATGGCAACAGATGTGCTTGACACAATGGATGGATGTATGGATTGTGATAAAATGATTAAAAAATAATAATTTTCATGGCTGGTTGTTTGTATATGAATGGTATATAGTGCTTTGAAGCTTTGAAAAATAGGAATTTCCCTTTAGAAGGTAATGTTAAATCTGAATCCTAAAGATTCACAACAATGTACCGAAGCTAAAGAAGGAGTGAGAGGGAAAGGGGCATTGCAGTTATGGAGAACCAGTTAGAGAAGGACTGGGACAAGCCAGAGTGGCTGGAGTAGAAAGGGTGAGCAAGCAAGCAATGAACCAGACTCTGTAAGGTCTGAAGAGGCACACTCAAGATTTTGAGCAATGGAAAGACATTTCAAGGGTCCTGTGGGTGGGGCAGAGACGACACGATCTGATGTGTATTGGAAGGTCATTCTGGCTGCAGTGTGGAAAGTAAGCTGGAGAGTGCCAAGAGCAAACAGCAGATGCTTTTGCCAGGAATAGATGAAGATAGCTGGGTGGTATGTATGAGGGATGGGTAAAGGACTGGTAAGAAAAATGAAAAGATGTGGAGGTAGATAAGTGGAGGGAACCAACTATCAGGAAATGAGGGAGAAGAGAGTTCAGCACTAATTTCTAGGTGTGTATCGGTGTGTGACAGGATGGATATTAACATTCTGAGATAGGGGCCCTGGTAGAGAATTAGGTTTGGGAAGGGAAATTGAGTTTGGATTTGGGTTTGTTGATTCTTTTTCCTTTTGATACTCAAAGACATTAAATGGGCAGTGTAGGTGGGTCCGAAGCTCAGAGGTAAGCTTGGGATTGGAGCTAAACACATGAGGAATCTTGCAAGTGATGTTACGGAAATGAATGCAATTTCTCAGCAGGCATATGACATAGAGCAGCGGTTCTCAACCTGTGGGTCACAACCCCTTTGGGAATCGAATGACCCTTTCATTGGGGTCATCCGATTAATAACAGTAGCAAAATTACATTTATAAAGTAGCAATGAAAGTAATTTTATGGTTTGGGGAGTCACCACAACATGAGGAACTGTATTAAGGGTCGCAGCATTAGGAAGGTTGAGAACCACTGGCAGAGAGGAACAAGATAAAAGACTGAGGACATGAAATGCTAGTGATAATGAACCAAATAAGAGAGAAGGTGCTTCCAAGGGCAATGAGAAGGAACAAAGGGGGAAATGAGCAGCCCTATTACTGACCAGGCCTATAGTCATGATCCTGCCACAGACTTACTCTGGAGAAAACATGACACTTTTGCCTCACAATGAAAATGTGTCAGACTCCCTGAGCCACACCACCCATCCTCCACACTAGCTTACCAAACGGGAAAACTAAACCAGAGCACCTGTTCCTCTGCTCAGGCCACTAGGCAAACTGGAAACCTTTGAGCCTTTCATTTTAGCAAGCCTCTCCAAATTTTAATATAATTTTCTTAATTTTTTTTCTTTATTGCCTAGTTTAGTCCAGTTTACCACTATCAAAATTCCCATCAGTCTTCCCCCACCCCTTCTTAACAAATGGAACCTTATCAAATTATTGCTCAGAAATCAGATAGCTTTTTGCCATCACCACTAATTAAAACACACTCTGGGCATGGTATTGCAGAACTTCAATGACCTGGCCTCAGCTGGGATTTTCTATTTTGTCCTTCGCTTAGGGCTTCATCACACTTCTTTCCATAATATGCCGTGGATGACCAGACCCTATTCGTTCATGTTACAAACCCAAAGGAGAGCACATACTTCCCCACAGCTATGGCCAGTCGGCTTACTCCTCCTCCAGTCTGCCCAGTACATCTACTTCCAAAAAGCCTTCCCCTTTCGCTCCCCACTAAAGTGAATTACTCTGTCTTCATTTCCGTGCCCTTTGCACTTTTAGAATCAAACCAATTTCACTTTGCCTTAAAACCTTCTTCCATAATCCTCTTGAGAGAAAGAATTGTGGCATATTAGCTTATTTGTTCTTCTACCCTTGATCATGAATATTTATGGACTGGAATTAAGCTGTGAGTTGTAGAATTAGGGTGGGAGGAGGGAATATTTTAAATATTACCTTTCCTTTTTAAAAATTGTTTGATATCTTTCTTAGTCTTTCTCTTGTACTATGTGTATAATTTTATATGCATACATTAGTATTTTAAGAGTATTCCTCCGTATTTTGACATCACCCTGGCCTAGCCAGTCACTCAGGATCCTTCGCGATGCAGTGGGTTAAATAAGCCTGAGCTGCTAACCACAAGACCGGTTGTTCAAACCCACCAGCTGCTTGGTGGGACAGGGAATAGGTTGTGGCTGTCTCCTTCCCTACAGATGGATAGTCTTGGAAACCTTAAAGAGCAGTTGTGTGTCCCATGAGTCAGTCAACTCAATGGCATTGATGTGGTTGGTTTGAATATTAAAAGCCACTAAGAGTTGCTTAAGGAGCCCTGCTGGCACAGTAGTTAAGCACTTGACAGCTATTTCATAAAGATTTGCAGCTTTGAAAATTATATGGGTCATTGCTGCTCTGTCTCCCTTATGGTCATTATGAATCTGAATGGACTTAACAGCAATGGGTTTGGTGTTTGTGTTAGTTTGGATAGACTAGAGAAACAAATTCACAAACATGAATATGTGTATATAAGGGAGAGGTGTATAGACAAGAGCAATTGAACATTGAGAAGACGTCCAGTCCAAGCCCATAAGTCTGATATTAGCCCCTATGTCTGATACCAATCTATAAAGTCCTCTTCAGACTCAGGAAACACATGCAATGCCAAATACAGGGCGATCACAAGCCAGTGGGTAGAAAGTTTTTTGATCCAGTGGCGTTGTAAGCATCTCAGCTCTGGCAGGGGGCTCTCTGTGGCTTCTCCAACTTCCGAGGTCTGGTTGCATCCATGTGGCTTGTCTGGTTCAGGGCACTAGGGTAGTTCCATGTGGCTTGTCAGCTGCAGTGTCTCCCAGGGAGTGGCAGAGAGAGACAAGTGTCTCCCACCTACAAGGAGAAAGTATCAGGTTTCCCAGAATTTTCAGGAGAAGGCCATGCCCACACAGAGGCCTCATTGGCTATGATCTGATTGACAAGCTGGACTCCACCCCTACTCTCTTAATCCTCAAATTGACAAAAGATTATATATCTACCACAGTGTTTTAAGGGTTGTTGTAATGACTAAAGAACAAGATAGGAGTGAGATAATTTAGTAGCCAATAACCTTTGAGGGAGGGGACTTCAAAAAGTTCATGGAAAAGTGAAATCAAACCAGGAGCCCTGGTGGTGTAGTGGTTATACACTGAGCTGTGATCTGAAAAGTGAAATATGGCATTCTTCCACAAACTTTTGAAGCCCCTATAAACATCTTCTGAGATGTTACTTTTTCCCTGATGTATACCGTTCGTTTTATCTTCATAATATAACTTTAGGGAATAGAAACCATTTTCTTGGGTTATGAATATACCCTCTCCCCAGTTACTAACCCTGTTAGGGTCCTGAGGTCAGTTCCTTATACAAAGTCAGCACTGTGCAAAGAGGAGGGGGACATGGAGGCAACCCTGGGTGCAGACCCTTAGAACCACTGTCCTCTGGACCCCAGTACCCTTCCATCAAGAGCTGGCCCTCTCTAGCAGATCTGGGGACTAAAGGAATAGTTGACAGTTCTGGGGGCTTTGGCAACTAGCAGAGCCACCTACTGCCATGCCATAGGCCAGGGAGGACCCCAAAGAAACTAGTGATGTGCTGCTGTCGTGGCAGTATTGGAAACTAACAGGTGCTCAGAAGAGGAGCTCAGCAGCTCCGGTTGTAGAGTAGGAGGCTTCTGCTTCTCTCCCCAGACACCCCAGGCTAAAAGTTCCGTCCAGTACCCTTCCTACTGCAGAATTTGTTCACTCCAGGCCACTTGGGTAAAGGGTAGCAGCAACAACACCCCCACCCCCACCCCTGGCTCCTCCTGGGCTGCTCTAGCTACTTGCAGGCTCTTTTTGGGTACTTGTGGCTCTTCTCCAAATAAGCCCATCAAAATCTCACCCTAAGGATGGAATAGCACTACCATGGGTGGCTCTGCGGGGCAGGAATTGGACTTGGGGGAGGAAATACAGGTTAATGCACAAAATAACCAGGGGAATTTTTTGCCATTGTAAATGCTAACTGTCAGATAATAAAAGTAGTTGATATGTGAGGAGTAGGTTTATATATTTTCCCCACTACCATGAGAATGTTTATTTAAGTCAGGATAGTGACTTAATAAACTTCCTCAAAGGAAAAGTTGTGATACAGAATGTTAACATTAACTCAGTTATTAAAATTTTTTTCTCCCCTTTTCATTAATACAGCTCTCAAGAGGCACAATTTATATAACAATCCTTTCAACTCTGTGAGTTATACAAGCCCTTACAGTCCAAATGCAAGTAGCCCATATAGCAGTGGTTTTAATTCTCCGTCCTCAGCCCCAGTGCGGCCTCCTGTAGTCAAACAACTTATACTTCCTGGAAATTCAGGTAAGGGGGAAACCAAACGGAGTTATGACCGACTGGTTTTTAACTTCAGAAAAGGATTTATTCATCAGTAGTTCATTAGTTTTAGTTAGGAAACGTCACTGCGAAGCTTCTTTGTACCAGATACTCTACTAGGAAGCAGAAGCACACAGATAAGCCAACATATTGAATTCACATTTTTCTAAAGCGGTGTGTATTTAGGTTTTTAAAAAATCTATCTGAATTAAGTAGGGTCACAATACTTGATTCTTTTAATCAGCAGATACTTTAATTGAGCAGCCTGCTTGGGTTGTAAAGCTATAAAGTTAAAATTTTATGGGAATTTCAATAAACTTTGGTGCGGATGCTAAGTAATACTATAAGGGTGTAGGTAAATGTGCCAAAAGAGTGAATGTTGTTAGCTGCCATCGTGTTGGTCCCAACTCATGGTGCCTCCTGTGTAGGGCCGAACTGCTCTATAGGGTTTGCAAGGCTGGGACCTTTCAGAAGCAGATGGCCAGGCAGGTCTATCTTTGAGGCATCTCTGGGTAAGTTAGAACTGCCAACCTTTTGCATAGTGGCCAAACTCTTAACCGGTTGCCATTGAGTTGATTCCAACTTACAGTAAGTCTATAGAACAGAATGGAACTACCCTCCATAGAGCGTCCAATGCTTTATGGAATATTTATGGACACAAACTGCCGCATTTTCTACTTCAGAGCAGCTGGAAGGTTCAAACTGCTGACCTTTTGGTTAGGAGCCAAGCACTTAAACAGTGCACCACTAGGGTGCCTTGGTCAATCTCTTAGAATGGTATGAGCAGAGCGCAGGACAAGTTGCTATAAACTGGGAAAGGGTGGGGCGGGTAGGGTAGAGTTTTAGTTCTGTGTCTGAGATTTACTCTGAAGCTCATTCTTTGGAATTCACTCCTTCAGTTACTTTTACTGCTAGTATTATCGTTAGGGCTAATTATACCTTCCTTAGAATGAAGGTTCTCATAACGACTTCCCGTTTTTTATCTGTGTTCTGCCTGCTTTAAAGACTTTACTGAATCTCCCCTTTGCTTTGTATAGAGATTATTTGTTACCACACTATGAAGTTTAATCTGAAATATTTGTTGAAAGAAACGGAGTCTGAATTTGTGGCACTTCTCCTACCTTGTTCACTGTGTGTTCTTCCTGTTCTCCTGTGTCTTACTTCGAGCTGACTCTCCACTCAAAAAAATCCTCATTGACATCAAGTTGATTTCAACTCACAGTGACCATAGCGGACAGAGGAACTGCCCTTGTTGGTTTCCGAGACTATAAATCACTGCAGGAGTAAAACACCCTCTTCATTCTCCCAACCCTGACTCTTAAGATGAAAAACAGTTCTGAGAAACTAGTGTTTGAAATAAATGTGTATTAGAAATATTGGTGACAGTGTTAGTGCTGATTTTTGTCAACTAGACTAACATTAGTGATCTGTTGGAAGCATTTCCTCAGACACACAATTCATATACTCTTCATTTCTAAAATCGAGTTATATTCTCCATCCCACATTTTGAACTCCTACATTTAGAGAATTCCTTGGGCAGAAGAATTTGGTGAACATGGCATAATATAGGAAAAATGAACCTCATCATCTTTTTTGCTTATTTGTTCCCAAATCTCTCTTGATTAAAAAAATGATCTTTTAAAATAATCTTATTGGTGGCTCATACAGCTTTTATCATAATACATACATACATTGTGTCAGCACATTTGTTGCCATAATCATTTTTAAAACTTTTTCTTTCAACTTGAGCCCTTGGTATCAGCTCATTTCCCCCTCCCTCCTCACCAACCTTTGATAATTTTTAAATTATTATTATTTTTTCATGTCTTACACTGACCAATTCCAAATCTCTTGAGAATTCTAGTTTTCCTCAAATTATAGTTGCCTTGTTGAAGCAAAGTAGATGCTTTTAATCATTTAAGTTGGGCGAAGAAAATACCACATCATAAAGCTCTTTATTTGTAGCTTAGTTACTGGCTGTCTTGTAAAAGATAGAATCCTCTCATCACATCTGGTCACAGAAGACCATTGATCTACCAGCCACTAAGTTGGAAGCCTGTTATTTTCATAAGATACTAGTTAAATGAAAATGTGGTTTTTATTTATGCCATACTGTTTAAAGTAGCATGGTGGTTAAGCAGTAAGCACAAAAGATTGGCAATTCAAACCTGTCACCTGCTTTGCAGGAAGAAGACGTAGTGGTCCACTTCTATAAAGATTTGCAACCTGTGAAACTCTGGGGTAGTTCTACTCTGTCCTCCAGGGTCATTATGAGTTGGAATGAACTTGATGGTAGTGGTTTGTTTTGTTGCTGTTTGTTTGTTTATGCCTGTATAGCTTTAAAAGAATCCATTTTTAAGTTTAACATTTTGAAATCTCATGAACTGGAAGGTACAATAATGACCAAATCAGAATGTAAAATAAACTTAATGACAACAGTTTGTCCAACTTTTGTTTGTACCGACTTTTAATTTTTTCTCTTTTAAGGTAATTTGAAAAATTCAGACAGAAATCCTCCACTCAGTCCTCAATCTTCTATAGACAGCGAGCTAAGTGCTTCGGAATTAGATGAAGATTCAATTGGATCCAATTATAAGTTGAATGATGTAACCGATGTGCAGATTCTAGCTCGCATGCAGGAAGAAAGTAAGTATTTCACTTCCTAAGAGTTGAGCTATTTCACTGCTGCATAGTATTTGTTGTGACTATTAAGTATGGTTTAGAAAGTATTGTGGAAATAGAATAAATAATAATAGAAATGTTTTAGTAAGCCTCTCAGAACTTTGTTTAACAAATGTTCAGAGAAACTTGTTTTCCAAGTCCATTTTACATGCAGCAGTTTGGCTGGGCAAGGGGAGCCATATTCTTTCTGGGTCCTTGTTCCTCACTCTGCATTGGAACTCACTGGTGCAGTTGTTATTTACACTTTAAGAACCAGATTCTTCCCACTTCAGGGAGAATATTGTCCTAGCTGAGAATACATTGTATAGGCCAGTGGTTCTCAACCTGTGGACCACGACCCCTTTGGGAGTTGAACAACTCTCACAGGGGTCACCCAATTTATAACAGTAGCAAAGTTACAATTATGAAGTAGCAATGGAAATAATTTTATGTTTGAAGGTCACCACAACATGAACTGTATTAAAGGGTTGTGGCATTAGGAAGGTTGAGAACCACTGAGTAGACCATTAAAAAACCTTTGTGAGAAAATATTCTTCAAGTTGTATAACCATTGCTATCTGAGTTATTCTTTCCCCATTAACATTAACTCACTTACCACTCAGATTTCTGTTTAATCATTCAGGTTGCTGTTGTCACTTTGATTGGATATAGATACCGTTTCCCTGAAAGTAAGATATCCCCTGAAAATAAGACCTACTTACAGTTTTGCCTCTTGCTGAAATATAAGACATCCCCCGAAAATAAGACCTACCCCAAAATAAGGCCACCCGAAGCTACCATAACTGTGGTCTCTGGACCGTAGCAGCTGGTGCCTCCGTGCAGCTCACTGTTGGCCGCAGCGCAGCTGGAGCAGACAGGAAGTATGAGGTCTCTCTTAATAAAACAATAAACAATAAATGTATACTGTATTCTTCATGGAAAAATAAGACATTCCTTGAAAATAAGACCTAGCGCATCTTTGGGAGCAAAAGTTATTATAAGACACTGTCTTATTTTCGGGGAAACAGGGTAGGTCTTCAAAGTATATAATGCTCAAGGTAGACTTTTTAAACTAGTAAAGGTAGACTATTGTTTGTTTTTAATAAGACTCATTCACTGTCATTGAGTTGATTCCAACTCATCGTCACCCTTTATAAAGTTTCCAAGGCTGTAAGTCTTTACCGGAACAGATAGCCTCAACTCTCTGCCCAAGGGTGACTGATGAGTTTGAATTCATGACGTAGTGGTCCACTGCTTACCCAACATCACCAGCTTTGTTTCAGGTTTAAAGATTATCTCCTGGCACTGGTTGCAGGGTGTTTCCAGCCTCCATGACTCCACAAAGTATGGAGAGCATGAGAACTTGAAATTCTGTCTGTATTTTCTCTTTTCTATCAGGATTCTTCTTAAATTCTTAGATCAAAATGTTCAATAATGGTAATCTAGCGCTGTCCAGTTCTTCTAGTCTCTTGGAAAAGATGGCAGTTCATGGAGGTACTTGGCCATACACTTCCTATCTTCTTTGTATTCTTGACACTACTTCTTTCTTGATTGATCTCTGGAAATAAATTCCACCTGTTGGGCCTTGGCTATAGGCTTTTAAACAGCAAACACTGGATAACTACCTCAGAGGCAGAACAGAATCGCAAGACATATTAGGCCATTTAACTGGGCAGTCTCATGAAACTATGACCTTAAACCTCCAAACCAATGAGCAAAATCCCATGAGGTTTTAGATGTGCATAAACAGCTTCAGCAGCTACTCTTTTGTTTTGCTGTGACTGTAACCATATCTCTCGCACCATGTGATAGTACTTTGCCAAGTGGTTCTTGAAACTTTTTTAAGTGACACTTTTGAGACTCCAGATTATAACCCTGTCATCCCTAAAATGTACCTGTGTACAAATTTTTTCATTCTGTTTCAAGGTTTATGGATGCCGTGACTCCTTGAGATATGTAAGCTGGTGGTGATAGTATTATTGTTACTGCATATGCATTTTATTAGGACCTGTAAAGGGAGCACTCTCAAAAGCAGTCTCTTTTCATCTTTACAGTGAAAAGATCCTTGAAATACACATTTCAGAGTCTTAACAATTGGGTGAGCATAATGGAGCACTGCTGTCTTACAGTCAAAAACGTTCTGTTGTCTGATTGGACAGCCCCTCACAGAAGAGTCATAGGAAGAGACAGGCCAGCCAGGGTGCAGTATAGCACTGACGAAACACACAACATTGCTCTGGTTCTTTAAGGCTTCCTCCCCCCACTATTATGGCCCCATTCTACCTTACAAATCTGGCTAGACTAGAGGATGTACACTGCTACAGATAAGAGCTCTGGACACGGAATCCTGGACAGAGAAACCCCTCAGGAACAATAATGGGAGTAGCAGTACCATGAGGGTAGGGGGAAGGTAGGAGAAAAAGGAGGGGAAAGGGGGAACTGATTACAATGATCGATGTATAACCTCCCACTTCCCCCTGAGGGGGATGAACAACAGAAACATGAGTGAAGGGAGATAGCGGACAATGTAAGATATGAAAATAATAATGATTTCTAATTTATCAAGGGGTCACAAGGGTGGGGGAGGGAGGAAAAAAGAGGAGCTGATACCAAGGGCTCAAGTAGAAAGAAAATGTATTGAAAATGATGATGACAACATATGTACAAATGTGCTTGATAAAATTGATGTATGGAGTGTTATAAGAACTGTAAGAGCCCTCAATAAAATGATTTATGAAAGAAAAACTTCTCTCTGTATATAATAAGCCCTTTCTTTAATGAAAATATGTAGTAAGTTTTATCAAGTTGTAACATTATTGTTTACTTGCTGATTCATTTCCCATTTCATGGCAGCTTCCCCTAGAGAAAGATGTGCTACTTTCATTATCTTTAACCCTAGATGTTATTAATATAGTAACCCACCCCATGTGTCTTTTTTGATTCTTTATTAGAACTTTGTGTTTTCGATGAATGGGGTGACTTAATGGCATAGATATGAAAGGGGACTACGTAGTGCTGCCTAACCCTATGCCTTAGAATAAACTCACACAATTCTTTGAACATATGACTTAATTTGTTAGAAGCTCAACCAGTTTTTTTGCTGTTCTTATGCTTTGGTAACTAACAATAGAAATGTTAGCCTTCTAGTAATCTTTTCCAATATTGCAAGAATATTTCTTTTCCTGGACAATTAAAAAAATTTTTTTAATGTATGTGATACCTCCTTGAAAATGGCAGGGCATTTTTTTCCCCACAGATAATTTTCCTTTTAGCAACATTATTTCTGATTTTGTGGTAAGCATTAGAAATGCCAGTTTACAGATTTGGTAAGCACTCTAGAGGTTGGTCAAATGGTTTTCTTTTTAAGATGAGGAACATAGAATCTAGTAGTGAGTATCATTCCCTTAGCCTGCATTGGAATCTGGATTTTCCTTTTCTAAAACAGTGCTCTTCTTCTGGGTCTGTTGTCTTCTGTTAGGTAACTTTAGATGCCATTTTTGCTGTAGCTACACAACTTGTCAGTTGTTAGAGTGGTTCCCTAGCCTGACTGAAGAATAGTTGGGCCCCAAGAGTCTGTAGTTTTAAGGACACCCTGGGGTGACTCGATATCCACTAGTTTAGGAATCATGTTGATAGTACTTTCTCTATATAAATACTTAAAGGATTGAGTACGAATTTTGACTAGCCAATAGCTTATTTGCTCAAAATTTTATCTAAACCCTATACGTTTAAAAATTATAAGTTGTTAGCTCATTGATTATATTGTATATCAATATTTGGTTGTGTTCAAGAAACTTCTGTGTTATTTGAAACCCCTACTCCCATCCCCTGCGGTGTCCCCAGGTTGGTTGGGTGTTTCTGAAGCTACATTAGATCCTTTCAAATTCTTACTAGAAGGCGTAGAATTTATGCTTGTTTTATTGAAATCTTTTGGGTCAAGAGGCAATTAAAATTTTATTTATACCCAAATATGAATTTCTAAGAGAGATAGTTTTGCCACTTGATTGTTTTCATGAGTAAGATTAATTCAAGGATTAAGCAGCCAAGGAATTTACTTATTGTTTTCTTTTCATTAGTTGAACAGTAATTGTTTTCTCTCAGCATTCCTTGAATGCTGGTCTCAAATCTGGATTGTCATCTTTAGGAGTACTAAAGTTTATTATTCTATCTTAATACAGATTTCAGATTTCAAGAAATTTTGAAATTGAGCAAAGATTTATAGAATTTCATTTTAAAATAACCATATGTAATTTATGCGTCATTCTGTGGGGAAATGTTTATATGCCTTCAGTGGAAAGCCAGTTTTCCCTTACACTTTCTACTCTATTTGAATTTCTCAGTGAAATCGTGTACTTTCAAAGTTTAAAAATATTAAAATGTATGAAAACATAATTAAATAACACATTCATTATTGCCAGGTCTCCGGCAAGAATATGCAGCCACCACATCTCGACGCAGTTCTGGTTCATCTTGCAATTCAACGAGACGGGGTACTTTTAGTGATCAGGAACTTGATGCACAAAGTTTAGATGATGAAGATGACAGTATGCATCACGCAGTATACCCTGCTGTTAACAGGTTTTCACCATCACCACGCAATTCACCTCGACCATCACCTAAGCAGTCACCCAGAAACTCGCCTCGTTCGAGATCTCCTGCTCGGGGAATGGAGTATAGTAGAGTGTCCCCACAGCCTATGATTAGCCGCTTACAGCAGCCTCGCCTCTCACTTCAGGGCCATCCCACAGATTTGCAGACAAGCAATGTTAAAAATGAAGGTAAAACCTAGCCCATCTGACTCTTGGGGCAAAACAGTTCTTCATATTTTAGTGTGAACGTAACACACTCTTGACCAGTGTTTTATATTTTGCATAAGTACATAGCAAATTTAGTCAAGTTTATAGGTTTTATTAGGGTGAAGCAATAGAAAAGGCAAAAATGAATTTCGTTTTACTTGATTATTTTATTTTTGCCTTATTCTCATAAATTGATCTATTTACATTTTTATTTAAATTAATAATTAAGGGTTCTCTTAGTCCACTCACAGAATCAGGATTGGAGTTTGTCAGTTTTCTGTCTGTTAAAATAAGTACTTCCTGTTAGCTCTTAATAAAGTATGCTGAATATTTAAAGAACTTGATTTTTATATGTGAACAGATATTTTAATTTTATCCATCTGGAGGAATAGTTTGTATCTTTAATTAAAATTCTCTTGTTATAGAAAAGCTAAGACGCAGTCTTCCAAACCTGTCCCGAACATCCAGTACACAAGTTGACTCGGTGAAAAGCAGTAGAAGTGACTCGAATTTCCAAGTGCCAAATGGAGGGATACCTCGCATGCAACCTCAGGCTTCAGCCAGTAAGTAACTCCCTATGATTTATATATCAGTTCTTTCAAGAAAAATGAACCCTATAGGTGTTAATTTTATACACAATACCTGTATTACAGCTATATATACACCTGTAGTTAAAAAAAATTAGTGCTTATTTGTCCCAGTATAATATCTAAAATATGTATGTATTCCCTAGTACATACTTAGCTTTTATTTATGAACCTACACTTTTGAAATACCTAAAAGCTTGTTTTCGTGTCACATATTTTTGGAGCATGTCATAATCAAAATAAGCCCATCATTGTACAAATCTCTCTAATGTTTTAAATCAGTTATCAAAGTTGCAGTTTTCTAGCTCCTGTTTTCTTCCAGAACAATAGTATATCTTGAGAACACTTATTCTAACTTTATTTCCACACCTGTTACTGTTAAATATTTGGTTTTAATGTGGCTGACTTTGTTTCAGCTAAAAGACATTTTTATGGGGGGAAAATCAAATCAATATGGACACTAATTTAACTCATATTTCTAACCCTATGTACAGATTAAAATATTGAGATAGTAAATTGCCAGAAGCCATCATTCTTTAAGACTTGATCAAGATTTCTCCATTCTAATTCTCTTGGAAAATAATACTCAGGGCTAAGATTAAAGTCTTAGATAAACAGGATGAATTTTGGTGTAATTTTTAAAAATACATATAGAGCATAAGTATTAATAAATTTTGAGTTTCTGGTTTTTTACTAGTATGCTAATTTCAGACAAGTAAATATTACAACCAACAAAACTTTCAGGGGAAGTTCTGCTTTGTAGCACATTGACCAAATTGAGTAAGAAACAATGCAATAGCAGCAAGTTAAGTCATTTGGGGCTAGTAGCAGGTGGTAGTAGACATTTCTACTCTAACAGACTTTTTTTAACTTCACATTGTGTAGTACTCTACATTAAAAATTACAGAATTTGAAGCAGGCGGGAAATAGCCCTAGGACAGACCACTGTAAGACTCAAGCAGCTTTCTTACCAGAGCATTAATGAAAACAAGAATAAGCCTATAAAAATACTAGCACTTAATAAAAAGACTAGTTAAAGGCATGTTCCTTAATGAATTAAAGAACAAATATCATAGGACTTCATTTGTTCAAGGCTTGACGCTGCAAACCTTCCCAGCTGACTTCTCTTCCTTGCATGGAACTAGCCCATCAAATCCCCTCAAAAGCCACTATTTTTATTGGACCTTTTTTTTAAACCATCCTAATGACATTAAGAGCAGTATTGTTACTGAGAGAACTGGCCGGAGCCATCTGCTGATCAGAGACATGTTTTGACATGAATTGCTTGGGATAAACTCATGCATGTATGAAATGGAACCCTAGTAGCAGTACTTTTTTACTTCTCTTGTCCATGCAGTTTCATAATGATATACTTCAATATTTGAATAATGGAAATATTCAATAATTTGAATAATGAAAGCAATGGAAAGGTATCACCCATTTTTAAAAAATTGATTATACTTATTTTTGTATTTACAACCATATTGGGGCTTAAATGTTACAAATATACTTTGTTTTAGAGTGGAGTCACACTGCTCTCAAAATTATATTTGGAAAGTAATAAATCTAAAATCTTAGTAAATTTAAAGCTTAATAAAATTTGTTCTATAAAAATAGTTAAACATTTTAATGTTAACACATTAAGCAAAGAATAATAAGCTATTCCTTTTTGTTGCCATTTAAGTCTTTCATTCCTAAAAATGTAAAATTTTCTTTTGTTTAGTGTACATACACTGTTTTTATACTAGCCTTTTGCCTATGTGGATATCTGATTATGTACAAGTGCTATTAAAATAACAAGCTTTATAAATTTTTATATGAGTTGATAATTTTTACTTATTGTAAATACTTCAGTTGTTAGTGTAATGGATGTTTTGAGGTTTTGTTTTGTTTTTCCTTTAAATTTTTATTTTTCCAGCTCTTAATTGGTAAAGCTTTGGTCCTTACTACTTGCTGGTGTGCATGAACTTAACTTTGCAAGGTTGCTGTTACTTCCACCTAAGAGGCCACTTCTTTTGCCTTGTTACTATGCTGCTCACTATTTTTATATGCTATTTGCTATGGCTGCATTATTGTGAATTCTGGCATTCAAATATCAATGCTATGAGAATTCTAATGTTTTTTCATTTTCTGAACTATTTGCAAATTTAGGGCTTCATACATGGAAAAGTGAATAACTTAAAAAGTGTAAGAAAACCAGAGCACTGCAGAGGTCGTGCATTCATGACAGCATCCTCAATTTCATCAAGTATAGGAAGGAATGTCAGGATTCGTTTTTCAAAAGATGGATGTTTTGCTTTCCATTACTACTAGACCACAGGTTTAGTGAGAAAGCTTAGTTTTCAGAGAAATCTTAGAATTATTGGTCCAGAAACAAGGGAAGAATGAAAAGCCCAAGGCAATCTACTGATTTAAAACAAAACAAAGCTTAGTTTTGTTAATATTCTAAAAGTTTGGAAGTACTTTCCACATGTATTATCTCATTTGAACCTCACAACAACCCATCTTATTTTTATAAAAGTTAGCAGAAGTCCATCTATGAATTATATAAATTGTACAAGGTTAGATAAATGGAAAAGTGGACAAAGGCCAAATTACTTCTCCATCACAACTCCCTACTGAATCACCAGATTACCTCCCCATCATTGGCATTGCATTGCAATGCACTGCCGTAATGGCAAAGGTGTAGGTATCTTGTAGAATATTCTTGGATTACTCTATTGGAACATGATCTGGGATTGAACTCTGAGTACTTTTTGAAATACAAAAAAAAAATAAAATAATTCAGATGCAGTTTACATTTAGTCAATGGGAAATGTTTTTGCATAGGATGCATGTAGGATCAACTTTCTCTGGGCCTGTAAGTGAGGAAGGCGGACATGCTGGGCATACGTCAATCAATTTAAGCATAGACAGGTTGCACTGAGACCCCTGGGAAGAAGTCTTATTCAGAGCTCACTTAATATTAAAACACTGAAAGGTCATGCTGTAATTTTACATAATTATGAAACATGAATTGAAATAAAGGTCATGATAAATACTTGTGTTTGCAATGGGTCATCTAAGAATGAATGAACCATTTTGGAACATCTATTTAAGAATACGTACAAAGAATAATAATGTGTACCATATATACTTGTGTATAAGCCTAGTTTTTCAGCACATTTTTAATGCATTTTTTGTGGTAAAACTAGGTGTCTTAGCTGATACTCGGGTTGGCTTATACTCAAGTATATACGGTAATACAGTGATGCTGCACAGTATTACAGAATTACAGTGATGCTACACAGTATTACAGGATGTTACACTATTACATATTCTTAAATAGACTTGATGGCAACTAACAGCCGCAGCAGTACAGTGATGTTAGGTCAGTGGTTATATCACGGGAATTTTTTATGTCGTTTTTCTTTGTTGCCCTTATGGAAATCTGATTGAATATATTGGAAGTAGAAACTCACATTCTTATGTTTGTTAGAAATCTCTTCACCAATTTTAGGGTTTAGACCACTAGACCTTGGTTAAGATCTTTGGTTTATCCAGTCATCAGTCACTTATGTGTTCCTGAAATAGTCATCAAGGAGCCCTGGTAGTTATGCAGATTAGGTGTTGGACTGCTGACTTCAGCCCTGACCCAGCCCACAAGTTAATATATAAGAAACTGTTTTTTAACAAGGATTACAGGAGGAGAGCACTTTGTTACATGTCACAGGATAGAACCAATACTTTAAGAAGGCAGGTTTTACAACGAGCACTAGGAAATTATCTATACTTACATTTCTCCCGGGTCCATTAGACCACTATCTACTGAATCTTCATGTGCCCTTGTTTACCCTTCCTGAGTCAGGATAACGCTGATGATTAAGCTTAAACGGAATATACTGGGGGGGGGGGGGGGCTGTTACATTTTCTGTATTGACTTTGCAATATCAAAACCTGCCCGCCCTGTCACGGGAGAAAGACAAGGCTCTGTTGCTGTAGAGACTGTCAGAAACCCTATATAGGATTGCTGTGAGTCAGAATTGATTCAATGGCAGTGAGTTTGTTTTGGGGCTGTTTTAAATTTTCAACAGATATTTATTGCTGTCACTGAGGATATGGACTGTACCCTCATAGGTTGACACGTCATAGGAAGGGCATTAAACTTGATCTTGAAGTGGATTTTAGGTACATCATTAAGATACATTAAGCAGGTCAGGAGCAGCTTATATAAGTTGCTACACAAAGAAAATAAGGACAGGTTTTCCTTAAGAATGCAACCTTGCTTGTAGTGGTTTGAGATGCAGATGGGAGACAGATGTAAGAGTTTTTCAGTATCAGATTTAAAAGTTTAAATTTCATTCTGTAAACTTCGGAGAGCCAGGATAGACTTTTGATCAGGTTAATACTTATATTATTTACCCTAACAGCAGTGTAGACTACGGATTAAAATTGGAAAAAGTCTAGAAACCATTTAGAAGGCTGTTGCCTAATTTAAGCAAGAAAAAAAAAATGAAGGCATGGTTCCAGGGAATAAGGAGATTTGGATAAATTGTTTTGTTTTTTAACTATAAGAATTAGAAAATAATCTGACTTGGTAATGCGAAATAGAGGTGGGAGAGCGAAAGAAGATGACTCTGAATCAATTTGTAAGCAAGAAAAGATTTGAAAGGAGGAATGTTAATGGAGGGGGAAGGAGAGACCAAGGAGAGACATTTTTACCTTGTCTAGTATGGTGTTTGTCTAGTATCTGGCATCTAAAGAAGATCACTTTCAATATTTTCTTTTGTACAACAAAATTATGTTCAATAATAATTATGACATTCAGTGAATGGCCAGGAAAAAATGCACAGTACAAATATTCTCTTATTGAACTTGTGTTATAAAATTATGTTGGGGAAAAGTAAAATCAACATTACAGTACTGATTATAAACAAACAAAAATATTAATGATAATGATAATATAAAGATAAAATGCTAATGTTTGGTAATTACATAAATCGCTTTTTATTAAGAAAATTGTATTTTGCATATTGATAAAATAATGATCATGAATTTTTGCTTCTGCAAATTTGTCAATAATTTCCTCAGAATTGATCTTTACATATTCAGGCTCCAATGTGCACTGTAGTTAGACTTCTCAATCTATCTTCGCTCACTGTTTAATCGAAAAACTTACATTTTAATTTTAATTGAAAAGTACATTTTAATTTCAAAAGTACACACACAAACACAAAAAAAAAACAACTGATATACAAATAAGAAAAGTTTTAAGCCTAAATTTGGCAGAGATTCACAAAAATCTCATTGTAGATTAAATTTCAAAAATTGTCATACTCTTCACATCTATTTAGGATGGAGGGAGAATCAAGTCTAATGATTTTTTACAGTTGAAAAAAAATTTTTTTAAGTTACGTGTAATGACAGAACTGAAGTAATTCGTGTTCTGTTTCATTGCTATCAACAATCATGGAATAATGTTTGTCTAATCCTTTATAATGCCGTATATGCCTATATAATGCCGTATTTGTGTACATAGGCATATACGGCATTATAAGCATTAGTAGTACATATGAGTGGGCATCAAGGAGTTCATGGGAAATGGAAATAAAAGATAATACAATTTTTTCAAGAACTTCTGAAAGCTTCCTACTGTTCAAGTGAGCTTAAATGATTTTAATTGCAGGAACTTATTCTTGAAAGAAACACTGTATTGAGAGACTATAACTGAGCATTCTCCAAATTAACTTTCATATGAAGTGCAATATTCAAAGATAAGTAAGATCCATTAGTTGAAGCTTATACATGTATATGTCATTTAGACCATAAGCCCCCAAACTTATTTGGCTTACTGCCCCTTTCTCAGAAAAAAAATTACTACCACCTCTACCCTACCCCTGGGCAAGTAAAAATTTTTGTACTAAAAATAGGCTATACTCCAGGATAAAGTACAGGTGTTTGCTTGTGCAGTCCCCCTGGATCTTTCCAGTGCCCATGGGGGTTAATATCGCCCACTTTAGGAATCATTGATTTAGACCAGGCCTTCCTAAACTTTTTCCACTTGTGAGCCCTTTTAATCTAAGAAATTTGCAACGAGCAAGTGCTGCCAAAAATACCTTGTATTCATTAAGCATTGAGTGGAATTAATTTTGGGTCTCTGTGCATTCAGAAACCTTTTACTGTTGCTGTTTTTCCAAGATCTCCACATTCATGACCCCATAGCCTCTTCAACCTTAATTTAAGCTCCTTTAAGAAGCTTTGATTTAGTGCAATGGATTATTTATCATTTAAACTAACTGATTTCCCCTCCCCCTCCCCAGGGAGAAATATTTTATCAAAGACAGTTGATTTTTTGCTGGATCATGGTGATAATAAAAAGACCAAGCTCATTTTAATTTGTTCCCAATTCCTACAGACAATAAACCTCCTAATGCCTGCACCTGGTGTGAGGGTGGGGGCTTTGATATGCATTAATGGAGTATAGGGAGACCCAAAGGGACACTGTTATCAAAAAATCGGGTGATCATCTAAGTTAGCTATTTAGAAGACAGTGGGATTATAAAGGAAGAGACTGGTCTGTGGAACTGCAAGAGATAAATGGTATTCAAGTAGGGGGCAGAAAAACACTGAGGAAAGATTGACTTGGTAAATGATGGTACATCTCTGACAAAATTCCAGGTTTGTAGAAGACAACAATAACCTAAACGATGGTAACCTCAAAGAATAATTGTTTCTCTTTACCCTCTTTGCTTCTCACAGTGAAGTTTTTCTAATTTGGAATTATAAAAATATTAAAAGGAAAAAGGTTAAGCCAGAAGTAATTTTGAATAGTCTGTTGTTTGAGAAAGATTTGGATAGCTACTCTGCTTTGTCATTTCTTTAAGAAATGTGGGTTTTTTATTAGGTTAAATATTATATGACTAGTGGTATCTGCTGAAAACCCGTCATTTCATTCTGTCTGTAGTAGGCAAAGTTTTGGAGTTTACTGCCAGGTTTTATTTGTAATTTGAGTTTCTGAACTCCTAGTGGTCAACTTTCACTTCTCTGCCTGCCATTGTCATGACATCACTCATTCAACTTGAGGGATAAATGCAGTTCATTGGTTTCGTCATAGTTATTAATTCAAGTAGAATCTTTCCCCAAAAGTTCATGATAGATTTTATTTGATTTTAAGCTCTCATTAAAAAAAAAATTAAGTCACTAGTAGATCTTGTGAATTCTAATCAATCTGCAATTGATTGTTCTTTGCCCCACTCATCTTACTCTCCAACCACAACTGACAACTTTCTGTTCTTCAGACACTAGGCAAGCTCCCATCTCAGGCCCTTTGTAGTTGCCTTCTTTCTGTTTAGATTGCTTTCCTCCAGATGTCCTTGTGGCTCATTCCTGTTCTCCCTTCAGATCTTTGTGCAGGTAGCATTTCAGGGAAATGTTTCCTCATTGTTCTATTCATAGTTGCAACTGGAGACTCCTCCTCCTTTCTGCCCCCTCCCCTTTCTTATTTCATTTTCTCCTTAGCAGCTATCATCATCTGATGGGCTGTGCTTTCCCTTGCTGTCGGTCTCCCCTTCCCTAGAATCTTAGTTTCAGGAGAGTAGAAACATGTCTATATGTATGCAGAACAGTACTCAGTAAGAAGATCAATGAGTGAAAGAATGCTTGAAAAAAAGATGAATGGATGAAAACATACATGAAAAAAATTTATTGCAAGCATTTGATGATTGGTAGTAATTGTGGTGAGTTGATGGGTAATAAACGCATTATAAAATCTATTTTTGAGCTATAGAGAATTTTTTTTTGTTACACTGCCTGGCAGTATTTAAGTTAACTTGAAAGAACATTGTTGGACTATAGCAGTGTTTGGCTTGCTATAAGATTTGAAGTCATATAACCCTTGGTTAGCAATAAAATTGGGCTCTCTCCTGCTCTCGCAGCCAGGTTCCCCCCAGGAGAACCACCATGCGGGGCTGAGGTGAGCATGCTACCATGAAAAAAAAAAAATTGAAGTCAAATACATTTGCTACTTTTAAAAAATGCTTATTATCAGACTTAGTGAGAAAATCGGATGGTTTTCCAGCTTTGATAGTTCTGTAAGAGAGAACTGTTCCTTCATTTTCTCTGATGATAAATTAAGTCTCCCTTTATCACCCTGGTGGTGGTTTGTGTGCTCTTAGGCTCTGGCCAAATTTATGAGCATAGGATCTCTCTGTCTGTGGCTTTTTTTCTTAATCTAACTTTCAAATTGTTAGAATGATATTCTAGAGCTAGTTAGATGGGTGACAGTCCTGATAGACGTATTCCGGATCGGTCCTTTGGCACCATAGTGACTTTAACTCTAGAGGCCTCAGAGTTACTTCTTACATGCTGGTTCTGAGAAATTCAGTTTTTTAGAAAGCTTAGAGCTCCTCATTTTAAAATACAGATGTTCCGACTCTTCCCAAACCTTCAGCCCTACACCAACACACACACATGCTTGTATACATAGCCTAGTTATGGTGCAACCTTCAGTTTGTGGTACAAATTAGATGATTCTCTAGCCAGATGATGTTGGATGTTTTCAAATTACTAAATTGTGATTCCCCAAGGACCTTCCGGTTCTGAGTTTTCTTTTCCTTTTTGAGTATGGGCATTACTATTTCATGTTAGGGTGATTCCTCTAAGAATAATTGCTTTGCCAAATCGCTTTTTTTCTTTTTCTTTTTTTGCATTGAACAAGTACTGCATTTGTTTTATTCTGTACTGTGTGCCTGTGTTATCACTTTTTCTTAATTAGCTTTGTATATGCATTCTATAGCATGTGGTTTGTTTTCTCTTTGGCATTTTGCTCTGTGGGCCTATTGGAGATTTTCTGATCTTTTACGCTATTTCTAAAAGTATGTGCTCAACACTAAGATTTCAGTCCTTTTTCCTTTCCAATTTAATGCACTAAGCATCACTATATAATTCCTCCGCTTCTAGGCTTCTCAGATAATTGCATCTTATGGTTTCTGTTTCTTGATAAACTTACAAGTTTATATTCAAATATTCAAGTGTACAGAAGCTATATCCTTTATCTTGTCCTTCCAGGCAAATATTACAGTTCCTTATTTTTCAACAGCTTCGCAAAGGCTGAAAAATTTGCCTCGTACTTCCCTCAAAGCCAAACAGTTGCTTCAAACTACATCTACAAAAAGAGGTAACTACAGCCTCTTACTAAGTTTAAAATTTCAGCAAATGGTCACGTTAAATCATATAACTTCTGATTCAGTGATGTTGATAAAGCACATTTTCATCTTTATATTTCATATAAAGATAATTAAATACTGTGGATTCATTGTCTGTTATTTGAAAAATTCAGAAGAATAAATTTTTACAGAGGTATGTATTGGGTTACTGTTAAAAAATATATAGCATTAACATTGGTAATATTTTTACCAACCTAAGCTTGATGTCATTGTTGTAAATTAATTCACATGCACTAATAAATGCTTTAAGATGAACCATATGTCAGACATTCCATAATGATTTTTCTTTAATTTGGCTTTAATCTTTGATCACACTTACTTGTAGGACAGAATGGGAACATTTTTACAGAGGTCAGTCACCAGTTACTGTGGTGCTTTATATGTTTGAAATGGTAGTGCTGGAGGAGCTGAGTTTCAAAATACATCAATGTTGGACACCAGGGTTACTCCATATTAAATCTAAGAGATTAGATGTATGATCAATTAAAAAGAAGCAGAATTAGGAGAAATGCACTGGGATTAGATAGGCCAGTAGTAAGTAATAAGTAGAAGCTCTAAAGGAAATGAGGTAGAACAAATAAAAGCAACGAGGAAAAAATATTTCCCCATAATAGATAGGTTTCCCAGTAGATTCAGTACTCTTTTTTTTTTTTTTTTTAGATTCAGTACTCTTTAAGAGATCAGGTGGATAAAGGAAATGATGTCGGAAGAGGAAATTTGTTTTAATATTTTTGGTTAAAAACAGAGTTCACATGATTATATAGAAACTAATGATTATTTTAGCCAACTCGTTAATCTATATATTTTAGAAATCACCTAATGGATTTGGTATAAGTTAAGGATAGAGATTTAGATAATAGAATTAGAAGGAAACTAAATAGTCAAGTAGAAAATAAGATATATGTTTCTGAATTGAAGGAAAAAGTTGACCATAGACCTCAAATACAGGTATCTCTTGGTGCACCTGTCAGAAATAAGAGAATGGATAGATGATGGATTTGTTCTATGGTGAAATGAACTATGCAAGGGTTCTTCCAAAAAGAAATCTTTATAGAAGTTATTTAGAAATTGGAACTGTTTTCTTTAAAGACGTCTAGATTTGTGTTTAACTTTTTCTCCCAAGATTTCCTGTTGCTCTGTTCAGATTATCACTGCTGATGTATAGAAACCAGTCTGACTTTTGTGTTTACCCTGTACCAGGCCACCTTGCTGATTATTACCTCTAGTAGCTTTCTGTGGACTCTTAGAGGATTTTTGTGTTTTATATGTTTTTTATACTTTATTTTAAAAAATCTACTCATTGCCATTGAGTCGATTCCAATAGGATTGTGTCCTCTGTGTAAAAGGATAGTTTTCGTTTTTCCCAATTTGAATACCATTTATTTACTTTGTTTTTCCCTCTGGGCCTAATTATGCTAAGTATAACATGGGGAGGGCAGCATCTTTATCTTGCTCTTTAAAAACTCTCAGTCTATTTGATAGTTAGGTTTTTGTGCCAACATCCTAAGTGTGCTGGTTTTGCTTCTCTAGATTTGCCTAATACAGTCTCTACTAACAATGATGAATCTCAGCCAAGCCAATTCCAACTCAAAGTGACACTATAGGACACAGTAGAACTGCCCTTATGGCTTCTGGGGCTCTAAATCATAGGTTTCCAAACTTGCTTGGCCTACCTCCATCTTTTCAGGAACAAGCAACTCTGCAGACCCTCTTCTCCCTACATTAAAAAACTTTGGTAGTTTACAAAAAGATAAAGTGAAAGTATGTGCTTTTGCAGCCCCGCTGGATTGTTATATGAGGAGCTTCATGATTTAGAGGTTAACCTCATGATTAGAGTGCTAACCTCAAGGTCAGCAATTTGAAACTGCCAGCCACTCCTAGGGAGGACGATGATGAGGCTTTTTACTCTGTAAAGAGTTACAGTCTTGGAAACCCACAGGGTCAGTTTTACCTTCTCCTATAGGGTTACTCTGAGTTAGAGTTGACTCACTGGCAGTGAGTTGAGAGTTTGGGATCATTCCAGCATCCCTCATGGAGCATGTCACTCGCTTTGAGAATCACTGCCCAAAATTTCTACTGGAACAGAAGACCTCATTTTCTTCCACAAAGCAGTGGGTGAGTTTGTACTACTGGTCTTGCAACCCAACATGTAGCCCACTACAACACCAGGACTCCTTTAGAATGAGGTTAGCTATGAGTTTTTCGTAGAGGCCCTTTATCAGTTACAGTATTTCCTTCTGTACCAAGTTTATTGAATGGTTTTGTTTTGTTTTTCTTTGTGAAATGGTGTTGGATTTTATCCCATTGATTTAGAAGATTAAACCATCCTTCCATTCCTAAAATATATCCCACTTGGTTAATAGTATATAATCTTTTCAATATACTTTTGAATTCCAATTCTTAGTATTTTGATGAAGATTTTGGCATCTGTATTCTTAAGGTATACAAGTCTATAATTTCTTTTTTTTATGATGTCTTTCTCTGGCTTTAATATCAAGATAGCCCTAACCTCTTGAAATGAGTTTGGAAGTACTTTTTTATTGTGGGGAGACATTAAGAAGGATTGAGCATCACTCCCTCGATAAAGGTAGAATTCCCCAGTGAAGCCCAGTAAGCAAAGATCCTTACAACTGGACAAGCAAGAATGTCATGATACACAGAAAATACTGAACTTGTCAGGGTATTTCACTTTACTTGAGTTCAAGATCAATGCCCAGGGAAACAGCAGTCAGGAAATCAAATTACTTAGTGCATTAGGCAAATCTGTTACAAAGACCTCTTTCACGTGTTATAAATCAAAGATGTCACTTTGAGGCCTAAGGTGTGCTTAGTCTTCACTATGCACGTGAAAACTGGGCGAGGATAAGGAAAACCACAGAAGAAGTGATTCCTTTGAATTTTGCCATTAGCAAAGAAGATTTGAAGGACGAACAAATCTGTCTTGGAAGAAGTATAGCCAGAATGCTCCTTAGACGGTAGGGTGGCAAGACTTCATCTCACATACATTGTACATATTATTCAGAAGGACCACCCCTGGAGAAGGACACCATCCATGCATGGTAAAGTCGAGGGTTAGAGAAGATGACAACTAAGGAGATGGATTGACACAGTAGCCATACAACAATGACTCAAATCCAGTAACAATTGTGGAGATAGTGCAGGACCAGGCAATGTATCCTTCTGTCGTGAGTTAGAACTGACTTGATGGCCCCTAACAACATGTAACCCTGACAACAACAACAATCTTCTCTTTTTGTATGCGTGTCAGTCTTGCTAAAACCAAACTCTTAGCTTTGTATTCTGCTGTGATCATTGTTTCCTTTTATCAGTAGCTTTGAGTCTCGTTTGCTCTTTCTAGTTTCTTGGTTATAAAATTAGATTAAAAAACTTAGGTTATTAGTTTCAGATCTTTCCCCTTTAAAGTTGGTATTTACTGCTGCAAACTTCCCTTTGATTATTGCCTCTGCTACATTCATTAGTTTTGGTGTGTTGTGCTTTCATTTTCATTCGGTTCTTAAGTTTAAGTTCTATATATTTAAGAATTTCCCGTTGTCCTTGTGTTGCTAATTTCTCATTTCATTCTATTGTTTTCAGAGAATATACTTTGTATGATTTTCATCTTTTTAGATGTAGACCTGTGAGCTGAGATAATGTTCTCTTAATTTATCTCTAATTTCTAATATCCATTGCAATGGTTATGCAGAACTCACAGACAAAATTCGTGGTTAAAGGGTTCAAAGCCCGTGAGAAATGCTTGGGGTTTAATTGTTCATCAGGACATGTTACAAAGTTCTCTCCAGTCTGCTAATAAATGCCCAAAGGACATACTGTTCTACAATAAGCCTCAACTCAAAGGCATTCAGCTTAAGCTCTGTAAATAAGCAAACTCAGTTCTCTGAATTAAGTAAGTGCCTAGAGGCACCCCAATCTAGTAAGCCTCCACCCAGAGGCACTTAGCTCCACTTCCATGGATCATCAAGCCCAGTTGTCCAAATAAAGTGCCCAGAGACATCCCACTCCACAAGCCAGACTCCTGCACAGAAGCACGCAGCTTCCCTTGCTCTGTGAGTTATAAGAGCCCATCACTCTGTTCCATGCGCTTGCCTCCTGGTTCTGCAACTGCTCCTCTGATGTTATAGCTTCCATCTGGATCCAGAAGGTTCACTGCACAGGGAGTTCAGATCCAGAGAACATGCTCCCCTCCGGGCACTTGCTGGTAATGAGATCACTCCTCCTACTTCTCAGAGGGTTCATTTTACACACTGCAGGGTGGCACTCCAGGGAAGCCTTGTTGAAATTACAGGTGAATCTTTTCGGTATCATCCTGCATCTTCTTAGCAGACCCATGCATGGAAAGATCATTTAGTGGGAGTTACAAACTTGGGCTAGAAGAGCCACATTAAATAATTCACTGCCCTTGCAACCTGTTTTGTGGCCCAGCATATGACCTGTTCTGGAAAGATAATGTGATTTGTGCTATTATTGGATGGAGTATTCTAGATATCTTTGTTATAGTTGGCTTATACTGTTTACATTCCTCTTTTTCCTGCTGTTCTTCTTTCAACATATCCATTGTTAAGATTGATGTATTGACATCTGCAAATATTATTGTACAACTGCTTGTTTCAGTTCTATTAGTGTTTCGTTCTGGACCAACTGACAGCATCATGATAAACAGCAAAAATATTGAAATTGTCGAGGATTTTGTCTTGCTTGAAACTTCAACCCTTGCTCGTGGAGGCAGCAAATTTGCACAAGACCTCTTTGAAAGTGTTAAAGAACAAGGATGTCACTGAGACATCTGAATTATGGTGTTGGTGAGCAATTTTGGAAGTACAGCTGACACCCAGAAGAATAAACAAATCTGTCTTTTAAGTTTCATATATATATATATATATATATATATATATATAATTTTTTTTTTCCCAAACCTTTCTGTTCCTGGCTTTTG